TGAGTCGGGGCCGACTCAACGGCAAATAACAACAACAACATTTTCAATGGAGCTGCAGTAGGGAGATACCTGAAGGCTAAGATAACAACTATGAGTTTTTATGCTGAGAGTAATGGTAATCTACCAGATCTGTTCAAAAAACACTGGCAACAGGCCATAGGGCAATCAGTTATCTCCTGCAGGGTGTGGCAGACACTATCCACCAATACTCACTCTCCCTTTCTTTCTTGAGCACGAGTGGCTGGTGTTTAACTAGACATACAGACACACAGCTGTAAAGGCCATATTCAAGCTTCCCTAGCAGCTGGACCAGGGTATGCGACTACGTTCTGGCAAGAGCGAAGTGATGTCTGCCTCTCACAGATCACACTCCTAACAGAAATGTCCCTGTGTTTCCCTTGTCTCTTCCTCCCTTCTTGCTGGTTTGGATATAGGTTAAGCTGGCAACAGTGGAAGCAGCCATCCTGGACCACAAGAAGGAACCCACAGATTTCTGAGGATGAGAGAGCAACAAATAGTAGTTGAATTGGCATATCAGCTCCGGACTAATTATGTTCTTTTAAGAGTAACACCTATTTTATATAAGTTATATCTGAGTCTTTGTTATAGCAGAAGATACCTGTACCCTAACCAATCTAGGGGTATACTGAAGAAGCAACGTCTTACTCACAAGAAATGAATTACATAACCAGGAGCTGTTGACAGTACATCTCCACCAATTCAAAAAGACAAAACAGTGTCCTGATAGCAGGGTAGCAGCCTGTTTGGAAAAAAAAATCAGACCTGGTTTTGGAAAAAAACATCAGACCTAGTTTTTAATCTCACCTCTGTCATTTACCAACAGATAAACTTGGAAAAGTCATAACACTGCTAAGTTCCTATTTGTTGTGTATGACAAATAAGATATAAAATGCTTACAAATATAAAATGGCATATAAACAAATTACTGTAGCACACAGTTACATAATTGCATTTAGGTACATCAATGTTAACCTTAATCACTCAAATGACTCCTTTCCATGATTTATGAACATGAAAAGATGACCCAAGGGATCTGTTGGATCCCTTGCAAATCTAACATCTATTTAAAGGTAAAGAACATGTCACCAAGATCACTGGGATTAAGATTTTAAAATATGAAAAAATCTGTCTAACATATAATATTCACTGGCAACTTGTCACAAGTCTTCCCTTACATTGGCATTCTTTGTTTCAACCCACTCCTTACCCTCCTGGTAGACCTGTAACCTCATCATCCACTCCACATGGAACTAAGCACTCACTCAGAGTATGAGCATGCTCCTGAGAGGCAGACTGAAACGGAATCGGTTTATTAACCGGTTTATTAACTGAAAGCAGTTAGACAGGTAGGGTAGTAACATTTGGAGAAAGAGAACCCCTTTCAGGTGTTTCTGACCTGCCTAAAAATAGCCACCCTATGTTCAGCTTCTCAGATGAAGCCAGGGGTGACAGAGCTAGGACTATTTTTAGGTTGCTCTCACCTTCTCCAATTCTTAGCACAGTTTTTAGATGGAAGTTAGGCCGAGTTGTCTGATTCTTTCTCTTTGGAGTTAATCAAAGCAGGTTTGTTTGAAGGTAACAAATTCCAGCCAATCAACAGTAACATCTTAGAGCAATGAGCAAGTAGTGATAACATTAAAAAAAATACAATTCCCCACACTCCATTGGGAATAAAAAACAAGCCAAGTTGTCAAGAGAGTCAAACCTCCCAAATTTGCAAATTCTACTTGTAAGTTCTCTGAAATTTATGGTTTGACTATCAAGCAATGAGATGGACTGGTATAACTATTTTTAGGATAGTTCATCTCATTAACTCATATTCACATTTCATGAAAGTAAACAAGATCTACAAAAAATATTACATCTGTACCACCGAAAGGCTCAAAGCCTGTGTCCACATCCCTTGAACAACCAATATACTAACAAGAATAAAAGTCTCTACATTAAATTTACTTAGAATTCTTAGATCTTGATATAAAGACTACTCAGAACACTGTATTTTTCAACACTTAAAATAAGAGGGAAGAAAACATTTAAATGCCTACTAAGATGCTAGCTCCCCTAACAATCTCCTGATCTCACTGAATTTTCTCAGCTCTGTGAAATTAGCTATTATCCTCATTTCACAAATAAGCAGACTAAGTAATTTGTCTAAAAGCAAGTGATAAAGTCATTCTGGCTTTAATATATATATATATATATATGTTGTTGTTGTTGTTATGTGCCGTCGAGTCGGCCCCGACTCATAGCGACCCCTCCTTGGGTTTCCGAGGCAGTATCACTA